TAACTTATTTAGTAGATCATGTCATCGGGACAGCGATAACTTGCCCATAACTTTGTTCATTCAATTACTAGTCATGTTTGTGTGAATGAACATCTATGCTTAAGCATTGGTCAAGGTCACTGAAGGATGATCGTTGAATTTTGTCTCAAACTGATCGAAAGTGAACATTTTAATGAGATATTTGTATGCATAGGGGCTTAATACACAGTTCTGAGCTCAATGAGCAAACATTACTGAGTGGTGGTGTTTCATTCTCTGAGATGGATGTTTTGGTTGTGAAGCTTTCATTGTTATCCTCCTGAACAACATAATCAGCACAAACTTCAGATAGAAGTGAAGTATTTGGATTTCTCCACGAATGATTCGTAGCTTGTTCTGCTAACCTCGATCTTGATTGGTTGCTGTTGACCTTAAACCTGTCATTGTTTCAACCTTTGTTTTGATTGTATCCTCCTTTTGATAAGTCCGCTTAGTGCACATAAGATCTGAATTCCTGTCCGCTTCTAAATAACTCAGACTAAAATCTACACTGCAACTTGAACATAAGGAAAAAAGTACTCGAATAACGTTTTAATTTAATATTGGTTTATGTGTGCAGAAACCGGGGTTATCTATAGAGTTGCTCATGACCTCTGACTTCTGGAAAGTTTAAAAAACCATGTTAAATATCCATTATTCAGAATTGTGGCACAGGATTTTTCATTTTCTAAATGTTTCTGAAACAGTTCTATTCAATGTTGATTGAATGAAACGCTTTCTGATGTTCCTAGACTTTTCTTCTAAGGGATTTTTTTTCCGGCTTCCTAACAAATTGTTTTTAGTAGCAAGCAATTCAACTGATATTATTCCATAACAAAAGTTATCTACAAATATTTGATAAATGAATTAATCTTGATCATTGTACAGAATGCACTTTTAATTCAAGGTCAAATAGTGACAAAACAAATGGATGACATGTTGTTCATTGACGTCATTCATTAGTCGAAAATACGAATCTCAATAATAATCATAATAACAACAACATGAATTATGTAGCGAATAAATTTTTTATTGACAAATCATAAAAAAAAGATGTACATTGGTGAATTTCATTGAAAATGATTGAAAATGTTTCGTCATGAAAATACCAATAATTTACGAGAATAACTTGTTAATGCTAACAGTCAGTCAGTCAGTCAGTCAGTTGCAACGTAGAACTTCGTACGTAAGTAAAGTACATAAGTTCATGTCGCCATACCACATCAGCACAGAGATGTAATTGTCAATTCAAATCCAATAGTAGTAGAGGTAGTAAGGGGATTAGAAGTAATCGGAGTGGTTAGGATTAGAAGATATTATTCAAGAAGTATGCTTAAATGAGAAAAGTTTAGAAAGTCAAAACTAGAGGTGTTGAAGAATCCAGAAGATTAGGATTTGAGAGAACACAAAGAATAAATGCACCGGCGCCATTGCGAACGATTTTGAGCCATGTCATTCAAGGTTTCTAACCATCGATTATTATCATCTCGCAGACCCCAACCAGGTAGTCGACAATTACCGACATGGCTAAGTCCACTAGTCAATGACTTCATGGATTTCTGCCATGTGTTAATGCTAACAGTTAGATAAATAGGACATTTACAGTTTGGACAACATTTTTAAATGTAAACTCATGATAAGTAATTAGTTACATTTAATCTTAATAGGGAAAAAGCGAAATCCTTCGATACAGTGCCAGTCGAATAGAGAAACTTTTTGGAGGATGTCAGTAGCTTTACATATGTGAGCAGTATCATTGATTTGATGCAAATGTGAAGGTGCGGATTGGCAAAGTAAGGGCAGTATTTCTACAATTGAAGAACATCTTGAACTCGAAATAACTCTCAATCAACATAAAAGTCACAATTTTCAATATAAATGTCAAGACAATTCTATTAGATGGAGTGGAAGGTTGGTACACCATGAAAGCCAGTATCCATAAGACACAATCAAGGCGACAAGAATTGGAGGTAGAGATGAAAAGAATGAACGGAAATTAGATGGAACTGGAAAGAAAGACCGAGGTCACTGTAGGTTGGAGTAGGCTAGTCGGCAGCCTATCCTCCATTCGAAGTAACAGGCGTAAGTAAGTAATTTAGTACATCTAACCTTGACCAAATTTAGTGGTTGAGTATTATCTATACATACATATATGAATATACATTCTGGGTGGATTGCTGAGATATTTAGCCAAGTCTATATTAAATAAATGAAATTTGACCAGGGATGCAATCCAGGACGCTCTCTCCGTCCTACGTGACATTCGTTGGCTCTAGAGACTTGTATCCTAAAATTCAATGTTCATTAAGAGATAAGAACGATTGAATGTTTCCACTCGTTATATAATTTATTCATCCTTGAACTAAATTCTAAGAGACTGTGAGCATTTTAAATAACAGTAGACAACCATTCAGAATTGTCAAGGAAACCGAAATTAGGAATCCGACTGTAAGTAAAAAAGTGGGCTTATTATTCATTCTCAATCAAGTAGATTGAATCGATGTGCAGAGCAATTTATGGATCAGTTCAATTGGCCTTTAGCTACACTTCGGTTACCCATGATCTGCAGTCAACCTGAATAGCGAATTGATGTAAATCTCCCAACTCGCTATGATGTTGAAATAGCCATTGGAGATCTGAAGCAACGGAGAGCAGCGGTCCCTGAGATTTTTAAGGATGGTGGTCCAGTTTAACAGTTAGATTGACTGAGATCTTAGGTAGAATTTGAAAACTATATGTATTCCATCTGACTTGTCTCGATCACTGATTATCCCCAAGACAGAAGCCATCTTGTGATAATCACAGACGAAGTTGTTTAACTAATATAGTGTCTAAATTGTTAGCCTTGATAATACTTAGACGCTTAACTGACTAACTGAATATATGTATAGTCGATGAACTACATGTGAAACAACTCCGCCTGGAGTCTTCCCAGGGTTATTTCAAATCCCAAGCGCGGATAAAGAAGGAGAGTTGGACATGGCGTTAGCCATCTCATTCCGTAGAAAACCAACTGACCAAAAACAACAGCTAGCTGAGAAAAAAAATTACGTAAAACAATTTAAAATCACTCAGTTACTTTGTCGCCTTCCCGCCAAAAAATCAATGTTTTACATTTCAAAAAATTATACAATGAAATGTTCAGATTTCAATGCTAGTATTTTTTTGTAGTTGGCTATTGTGGTGGTGTTTCGTTCTCTGAGCTGGTGGTTTTGGTTGTGAAGCTTTCATTGTTCCCTGCTAAACATCATCAGCACAAAATTCAGATAGAAGAAGTGAAGCATTCGAATTTCTCCACGTTTGACCTGTACCTTGTTATGCTAACCTCGATCTTGATTGGTTGCTGTTGACCTCAAACCTGTCGTTGTTTGCACGTTTGTTTTGATTGCATCTCCCTTTTGATCTGTTTCTTGATCCTATGTCACCTATGATTTTCCTGATTGGTTGATAAATTGGGTCGATGTCGATGTGTTTGTTGATTGCTGATTGACCTGAGTGCCACGCTTCTAAAAATTCCATAGTGTACTTTGTCCTCCCTCTACCCAGTATTTCCACATTGTTCCAATCAAATGTGTGTCCATAATTGTCGGTGTGTATTGATATAATCGAAGCGTTGTCGTGGTGTTTGACTGCTAATTGGTGTTCATGTAAACAAAGCTGAAGGGGTGTTTCTCACAGTTTGAGCAGCTGTTTATTTTGTAGATGATTTTTGGTTTTTCTTCATTTGTCATTTTGTCCTTTGGTGTCTACATAGGATTGATTGAAGTGATTCCGTTGGTTTGTGTGCTACACCTATTCCAAATGGTTTCAATAGTCGTGCTGTATGCTCCGATATGTCTTTGATGTATGGTAGGATGATGCGTTAATTGGTTCCCGTACTTGATTTCGCCTCGGATGATGGTTTCGGTTGATGTTAATTGATGAAGTCGCGTGGATAGCCGTTCTTTTGGAAGATAGTCACAAGGTGTTTTTCCTCGTTTTTTAATGCTTCGTATGTGCTGCAGTGTGTCTTCGCTCTCTTGAACAAAGTTTGTATGCAGTTGATCTTGTGGGTTCTTGGGTTGTTGCTGTCGTAGTTGAGAATTAGGTCTGTGTGGGTTGGATTCCGAAATACTTGAGTTTCTAGTTTTCCTGTGTTAGTTAGTTGGTTATTGTCACTACTTATGGAAAAACTGTAATGTAAATTTCCAATCAATGTCATAAAACTAATGTATGATTGAGAAACTTTCATTTTACACAAAAAACGTAATATTTGTTTTTCATGATAGAGTTATGAAGATTGTTGAGTTTCATTGAATTTATGAATCGATCAATGTTCGATCACCATTAGAAACATTGAAAGATGACCATTTTGTCTTAGTATAGGACTAATCAGTAGCAGTGAGTATACACGACTCCTGTTCGTGGGAATCCAAACCAGGATCTTCAGCCTCGCGTGTAAACGCTTAACTTCTATATCACTGACTCCGCATCCAACAGTGTTAATGTCTAACTTTAACCAATCCCTGATATTACGTAACCGCACCTGTTGTCTTCAGCGGATTACTGCCTATATATGTGGCTGCTTAATACTGATAAGTCCCATACTGGGGCAAAACGCCAGTCTTTCAGTGCTTCAAGGTCACTAGTAGTGTTTGTAAAACAAAGATAGTTTCAAATTGAATTATCGTTCAAATCTATTGAATAAAACTGTCAGCTGTTGTATACCATCACCTATGACGAGAATGTTAATTTAATATGAGAATATTTATTGATATACAGATTTGACATGAAATCATTGACGTAATTTTTTCTTAAATCCACATCATCAAAAACAGAAATTACTTACTCTCTTATGCCTAACATAACATTTCAATTATTTCAAACTGATAGGTAATTTCAAATACTACTATCCATGCCAACCAATCACAATTCGACCTAGTAGATTTTCTGTCCTTGAAATGCAAAACTAAAACAAAAAAATATGTATTGATCATAGTAATGAAAAGAATGTATCGGTTGATGATACAATTTCTTTCATAATTCAGATTGTTATCGATTGGGTGGGAGAGTGGAGACGATCACATAAGTCTAATCTTCAAGACATTATGAACAGTGGTATCAAGAAGACACAAGGTGAAACTTTATATCTTTCATTGATTACCCTGTAAATTAGATTATAAAATGCAAAGTGTAAATTCATTCAATCCATAATTTACAAAACAATTAAAATATGTATGTATATATCATGAAAAATAAAATTATTTTCATCATCATTGATAATAGTAAATATTTTCAAAAAAAAACGAAATTTCACCGAGAACAATAACACAATGATCATTGACTTACGTCGATTAGGTGTCAGTCTATTGTGTATCACAGTCAGTTTGAGTATTACATCACTTATTACTGGTTTCTGGGATTGTGGAAATCTATTTTCAGCATGTCAACAAACTACTTTCAGGGAAACTGTATCAGCTGTTGCGGGATTAATCATTTTAGGCACTGTCTGCCTATTAATCATCATTCTGCTGGATGTCGTTGCATTGTGTTCAAATGTATTTGCATCACGTGCTGCTTACACAACTGTACGTTTCATTATTTTATATTTGGGTGCTGCAGCTCTATTGATCGGCATCTTAATGTACACAGCACTTGTTGGACATCAATGGTCATATTTCTTTACAGTCACTGGAACTGCATTAGCTACACAAGTAGCTATATTAGCAATTATGTCGTCAAAATGTGTCACTGTTCGAAGTACTACAACAACCAGAACAATTAGAGAAACTCGATTGGCACATCGGTAAACCATTGAATGACCAATTCGATTATTTCTGTAATGATGATTTTTCACATTTCTCTTGTGATCGATCAATTTCGCTTCAGTTAATAACGCATCTTGTAGATTTGACAGTATTCAATGTACCTGTTTTGTGGTTAAATGTTCAAATGATTGTTTCACTTTCATGTTTTTCGAATATAAATATCATATTTATATATAAAAATTACTGAAATGAGTTTTGATTGACTATGCAGTGTATAATTACGATGGGTTTGTCAGATGTTTACATGGGGATGTATACGCATTATCTCATGATGTGATATGGTTGAATGTAGTACGCTCACGAGACCGCATTACTAACCTAAACTAATGTCAAGATGAGATCATTCAGCAGAACGACAGGTGACTTATCGAATAAACTGATATGTTTGAATAGCCATCATAAACGAAGGAATAACCACGTGTCACTGTTGGCATGGATTGGAGGAAGTCAGTTTCGAAGGTCACTCACTGTCTAGTGAATTAAGATCAGATTATTAGGGCTTATGCCTGTCTAGCAGTCTACTTGTTCAATTGCCCGCCTGTCTATCTGTTTATCACATCACCGAATCACTTGCGACGGATTATCACACTTTGAATGAATCGTTTTGAAGTGATCTACTTGAAATGAACTGAATAATAAGTCAATAGAAAACACTAGACAGATGACAATGATTGAGTAGTTTTCAAAAACAGTAGAGATCGTTTTTTTTTTACATTGAAATCATGGATGTATCATTGATGTGACCAGTGAAACTTAACGCTGTCAGATGTAGGCAGTAACTACCGAAGACAGTGGCTGAGATTGCGTAAAATCCTCAGACTGGTCAGAGTTAGACTTTAAGACAGTTGGATATTATTGGCTCAGTGGTTCAGAGGTTAAGCGTTCGTGAGCAAGACAGAAGGTCCTAGGTTTGAATTCTGTGAGCGGCAGGAGTCATCGATGTGCACTGTTAAGGAGTTCCATACCACAGCGAAACAGTCGTCTTTCAATGCTTCCAAGTTTTTAATGATTGTCTAGCAATGATTCATTTAGGATTATTTAATTTAGTCAAATCAGTGTGTAAATTGTGATGACGACGATTAATTGAAGCCTATTCACTACTCATTGTCCCGGTTGGTGCCTAATCATATCACTTGATTAAGTACATAGTACTGACTCGCACTTACATAAGCCACCAAATATCTCATGCTTAATTGCATTAGTTTTTCAGTGGTTGGCGGTATCCCGAAAAAATGACTTTTTAGTAGCCTACGATCTGACTGCAAGTGAAAATACTATAAAATAAACCTTAATTTGAATTTCCATACATCATGATCAAGCGAACTCCGTTTGTCTGACGGCAGAAATAAGGAGCCATATATGGATTCATTTGGATGAGTTTATTTCATACTATCTTGCATTCAGACAGACATGAGAATACAGAGTGTAGAAGCAAATCAAGGCGAATGGAAGTGGGGACGGCGAGTGAACCATGTGAGACAAACATAAACTACCAGAACACAACCAAATCGGGAATTTCCCCCATTCGCAAAAGTTAATGTGGGAATTTTTCAGAATCAGCTTAGAAATTGTCCTTTCAACATTGACGCTTAGAGGTTACAAATTATTCCAAACTCGTTCATTAAAATATCTATCTAACTTAATTGAATCATTGGGTTAGCTGAGATGAAGAGGAATGATTAAAGACTACTCCTTCATTGTCCCGGTTAACGACGATACATACGCCAAAATCCTAAGTACCAATTCATATCTCACTCGATTAGGTATGTAGTACGTAGTCACACTCACATAGACGACCGATTCAAGTTGATTTGGTCAATAGAATAATGTATTCGAGCATTTTAGAGACAGAAAAACGTTTCACATTTACTATCTGAAAAAATTTTGAATCAGAGAACTATGAAAATATGTAGCAAAAAAAACTAATTCAGTAACGTGCACGTTACTCGGATGGTCGTCACAGAATGAACGAATTTCGACTGCTGTCAATTCAGTTTCAGTCAGTCTATCATAGGCTTCTATCGAAATGTTCATTAGATAGATATTCATATCACATTGAATATCAAATGTGTTCTACGTGATTGTATGAAACAGGACATGGAATTGACGATGTGTTAGTTATGTGAAATTATAACAATGTAGGTTTCATGTCTAACTATTTCACATTCACAAAATGCAGAGTCTTCTGACTACCCTAAGCAACAATGCAAGCATGTTCGGGATGCGGTTCTCACCCTCGAAATGCAAAATGTTGCTTCAAGACTGGGTTGCATCGGCACCTGAACTAATGATAGGGAGTGAAGTAGTCGAGTGTGTAGACCGCTTCACTTATCTTGGGAGTCTCATCAGTGCCGATGGCCTGGTGACTGACGAAATCTCAGCTCGGATACAGAAGGCTCGATTAGCTTTTGTCAACCTGCGTCACTTATGGCGTAGGCGTGATATCCGTTCTCTAATCAAAGGACAAGTGTACTGTGCAGCAGTTCGCTCGGTTCTCCTCTATGGCCGTGAAACATGGCCAGTCAGAGTAGAAGATATTCGTAGGTTACTGGTTTTCGATCATAGGTGTCTTCGAAGCATTGCTCGTATACCGTGGGACAACCGAGTAAGCAATGCTGTCGTTAGGAAACGAGTACTAGGTAAGGATGGCAGATCAATCGATGAAGTGGTGAAACTTCATCAGTTGAGGTGGTTGGGACATGTGTTGCGTATGCCTAACCAACGACTGCCTCGTCGAGCTCTGTTTCGCGATGTAGGAGTAGGTTGGAAGAAAGTTAGGGGCGGCCAGACCAAAACATGGCACAAATCCATCAAGTCATTGACGAGTGGACTTAGCCATGTCGGTAATTGTTGACTACCTGGTTGGGGTCCGGGAGATAATAATAATCGATGGTTAGAGACCTTGAATGACATGGCTCAAAATCGTTCGCAATGGCGCCAGTGCATTTATTCTTTGTGTTCTCTCACATCCTAATCTTCTGGATTCTTCAACACCTCTAGTTTCGACTCTCTAAACTTATCTCACTGAATCATACTTCTTGAATAGTATCTTCTAACCCTAACCTCTCCGATTACTTCTAATCCCCTTACTACCTCTACTACTATTGGATTTGAATTGACAATTACATCTCTGTGCTGATGTGGTATGGCGACATGAACTTATGTACTTTACTTACGTACGAAGTTCTACGTTGCATCTGACTGACTGACATTTCACATTCATATCACATCAAAATAAGTTTCTTTGCAGATATTAAATAAACCAACAAAGATCGATGTCAATAATATTAAATTAAGAATAAATTTCATTTATCGAATTCCCAAATATGTATGTATTTATGTATTCTTGAAGAAATCAAAATCGTCATCAGACAAATCAAGAGTGTTAATACAACAGAACCAGCTGAGGCAGTTAAAGCAGAAATAACAGTAACTGCAAAGATGTTGCGCTTTCTGTTCAGCAAGGTTTGGGAGGAAGAACAAGTACCAACAGACTAGAATGATGGATACCTCAATGAAATACCAAAGAAAGGCGATCTCAGCAACTGTGATAACTACGAAGACATTACTCTTCTCTCAATATCAATAGAAGTCTTCAACAGACTACTTTTAAACCACATCAACGTTTCAGTAGACACCCAAATCGAGATCAACGGGCTAGATTTTGTAATGATTCATCGTGTGCCAACCAAATTGCAACGTTACTGATGACTGTGAAGCAATCAATTGAATGGAACTTATCACATCATTATATCAACCTCATTGACTTGCAGAAATCATTTGATAGTGTGGACAGGATGAAATTATGGAAGCTTGTTGGAAACTATGATGTTTCTGAGGAGATGGTCGACATCTTATGGAATTTTTATGATGGATTAAACTGCAAAATCGTGTACGGAGGACAACTCACAGACTCTTTGGAAGTATAGACCATTTTCAGACAAGGTTGCTTACTCTCACCCTTTCTCTTTCTCCTGGTGATAGACTGAATTATGGAGACGTCAGCCTGTGAGGGGAAGCACAATACAGCAGACAGCTCGGATACATCTGAACGATCTGGCCTTCGCAAATGATCTAGGCCAATAAACACATTACGCCGAGAAATAGAGATAAACATGAAAAACGTGAACAAAAATTGGAAAGAACTGAGAAGTTAGGCCCTAGGACATAGTAGTTTGGAGAATACTAGACGGCGGCGGCCTATGTTCCATTGGGGGTAACAGGCGTTCATGGTTGGCAAACAAGCCTGCTGCACATAGAAACCTCTGCTTTTTAGGCAACATAAGTATTCTCACAAAAGCCAATTTTGCGATCACCCCTGCCCCATACGGGAACGCACATGTTTTCTAGATTGGTCTGCAAACAAGTGGATGTCCAAAAGGCACGCACACGTGCAGTGAACCCCGTTTGGGCACTTACGAATCAACTCGATAGCTGCAACCAATCCACTATCCACAATCCCCAGTCGGCAAGGGCGGCAAGGCGAGCTTTCCCAGCTAGACCAGGCACCCCGAAACGGATTACCGAGCCACTCAGAAGTGCACTAACCAGCAGCCGTTCCAACCGTCTGGCCTCCAACTGCTTTGCGCTGTTACAATCTACCGGAGCCCTCAGACCCCACATGAAGCTAAAGATCGAGTTTGTCCCACAAGTTCAGCCGGAACGTACACACTCCTATGAGGAAAATGTCATGGATTCAACCGAGTGCAAGCACTCGGCCAAGGTGGGTTAAATCCACAGAAGTGAGCAGATATCATTGGCGTCCAGTACCCTTTAGCACCGGATCACATAACCCAACTCCAGACCCTTGTTTAATGGGCCTTTACGCCAGTTGACAGAATACTTCGAGATGCAGAGTGTTCGGGACAACCACATGGGGTCGGCGTCAATAGGCCAGGATCTCTACAGCTGCTTCCCCAAACAGAACGTCTAGGGTCGCCTTCAATCATCCTGGAAAGCTACATCCCTTTCCAGGTATTTGCTACTGCGGAATGACAGAGGACAAGTCCTAAACGATTATCGGAATTTACCTACGCCCAGTGGACGGATATAGACTTAGAGGCGTTCATTCCTAATCTCCCAGAGTGGCAAAACCGCATCCACGGCCTTTCGACCATGAACACGTGCCATTATTCTGGGCCATGCTAGGCACAACATCCTAAGTATTCGGAACGGCTTTTAGCCTCAGCGCTGTAAACGACGCCACACTGCCTGACGGGACCACGAACAGGCAGCTGCCTCCACGCACCTCATCGAATCTACCTGAACACACCATACTCTATACATATAAGATGCAGAATAGCAGAAGCATCAGCCCAGCTTAAAGCAATTAGGCCCAACACTCCTGAAACCCCCATAAGTACGGGTATCTAGCGAAGATAACAGAAGCGGCGACCCAGCTAGATGCTAACGGGTTCACACACTCCTGAAACCCTCCGATAACGAGGCATTTGGTTACCTTAAGAGAGTCATACCCATAACAGCACACGAGACCAAATTGGTCAAAATAAAATCCTTCCTACACCCCCTAATACCTCTCTTCTCTCCACAACGAACTCTACTCACACTGCACCGCTAATTCAGACGAAGCGAGTTCACGAAACGTCATTTCTGGTCTTTTGAAACCCCGTCCTAGACTACATGTTAGAGCATTTAATGTACGTACATTATGTCAAATAGGGCAACAGGCTTCGTTAGCTAGGACATTAGTATCTCGCTCAATCAGTGTATGCTGCGTCTCGGAAACGCGCATACAGAATCCTAGTAAAGTCATTAATCTGATTTCACCTTGTCAAAATAAAGAAGCAGCTCGATTTACTCTTTGTGTATCCGGTAGCCCTGATGCTGCTTCCAGGGTTCTTGCTGGTGTAGATATAGCATTGAGTCGTAGGACAGAACTTGCGCTCCTAGACTGGATCCCTTTAGATAGTCGCTTGTGCGCTGTCCAACTGAACGGGACAATAATGCTTCGGAAAGAAAGGGACACCCGTAGTTGTCTCTTCGTCGTATCTGCCTTTAGCCCCACTGCTAATACTTCTACTATCACTATCACTCCTCGATTCGAACTGACAGCTGCATCTCTGTGCTGATGTGGTATGGCAACTCGTGAACTGATATACTTACTTACGTACGAAGTTCTGCGTTGTATAATTATTCATGCTTCTAATCGAACTGAATAAACTCCTTCAGAAGTTTTGTCTTATTTTTCTCTAAATTCTATTTTCATATATGCATTATTCTTCAATCAAAGCTATTTATATTATTGTATGATGAGATGATGACATCAGTTAACTAACTAACTAACTAACCAAGTATTTAACATATTAATTCGAATCTACAATATGCAATGCATAATTTTTACATGTCATTATCATTCTATTATACATTGTTGTACTGTTGAGATTACAAATTATGCAGTGTACACACACACACACACACAGACACACACAATGAAAAAAGAAAAAAGAGGAGAATACTACTTATTTACTACTTCTACTACTATTTTAAGGTCATCCACATGATCGGATGATTGATTGATTAGTGTGATATTTTTTTTATTTTTAGGTGAATTCAATTCTTCCATGGCATAATTTAAAATGAAATGTGTTCTATTTTTAGCGAAGAGATTTCTATACTGTACTGTGCACAGAGAGAGACAGAGTTTTCAATGTGAACATCAGCAGGGAAGTGATAGGGTTTTGAGAAGATCAGATCTATCAGTCTAATGATTGATTGTCAAGATATTAATTATAAACTGATCAAGTTCAGATTTTGATAAGATTGTAAAGATTGTAAAGAGTGTATGAAAAAAGCTTGGGCATTAAAAGTTGGTTAAGTCAGTAGTAGTAGTAGTAGTAGTAGTAGTGTGGTGCGAGCTACTTATAAGTAGTATATGACGTGAGTGTCAACGTAATGTCTGGCAGCAGAAGATGGAGGAAGATCAAGAGAAAGGAAGAGTTAGAAGAAAACAATGGAATTTTTGTATGAAACGCATGAATAATCACAATGGATTGATGTTTTGTAACAGGAACAGTCCAGTTCGATATGATGAACTGTTATTTTGCAAATGAACGATTTACGATATGGTTTTCCAATTTTACTGAGTAACTCTGTAATTTTCGTTAAATACAATTCGGTTGCCCCACCTGTGTTCTCGTTCACTACAGTAGTAGTAGTAGTAGTAGTAGTAGTAGTAGTAGTAGTAGTAGTAGTAGTAGTAGTAGTAGTAGTAGTAGTAGTAGTAGTAGTAGTAGTAGTAGTAGTAGTAGTAGTAGTAGTAGTAGTAGTAGTAGTAGTAGTAGTAGTAGTAGTAGGAGTAGTAGTAGTAGTAGTAGTAGTAGTAGTAGTAGTAGTAGTAGTAGTAGTAGTAGTAGTAGTAGTAGTAGTAGTAGTAGTAGTAGTAGTAGTAGTAGTAGTAGTAGTAGTAGTAGTAGTAGTAGTAGTAGTAGTAGTAGTAGTAGTAGTAGTAGTAGTAGTAGTAGTAGTAGTAGTAGTAGTAGTAGTAGTAGTAGTAGTAGTAGTAGTAGTAGTAGTAGTAGTAGTAGTAGTAGTAGTAGTAGTAGTAGTAGTAGTAGTAGTAGTAGTAGTAGTAGTAGTAGTAGTAGTAGTAGTAGTAGTAGTAGTAGTAGTAGTAGTAGTAGTAGTAGTAGTAGTAGTAGTAGTAGTAGTAGTAGTAGTAGTAGTAGTAGTAGTAGTAGTAGTAGTAGTAGTAGTAGTAGTAGTAGTAGTAGTAGTAGTAGTAGTAGTAGTAGTAGTAGTAGTAGTAGTAGTAGTAGTAGTAGTAGTAGTAGTAGTAGTAGTAGTAGTAGTAGTAGTAGTAGTAGTAGTAGTAGTAGTAGTAGTAGTAGTAGTAGTAGTAGTAGTAGTAGTAGTAGTAGTAGTAGTAGTAGTAGTAGTAGTAGTAGTAGTAGTAGTAGTAGTAGTAGTAGTAGTAGTAGTAGTAGTAGTAGTAGTAGTAGTAGTAGTAGTAGTAGTAGTAGTAGTAGTAGTAGTAGTAGTAGTAGTAGTAGTAGTAGTAGTAGTAGTAGTAGTAGTAGTAGTAGTAGTAGTAGTAGTAGTAGTAGTAGTAGTAGTAGTAGTAGTAGTAGTAGTAGTAGTAGTAGTAGTAGTAGTAGTAGTAGTAGTAGTAGTAGTAGTAGTAGTAGTAGTAGTAGTAGTAGTAGTAGTAGTAGTAGTAGTAGTAGTAGTAGTAGTAGTAGTAGTAGTAGTAGTAGTAGTAGTAGTAGTAGTAGTAGTAGTAGTAGTAGTAGTAGTAGTAGTAGTAGTAGTAGTAGTAGTAGTAGTAGTAGTAGTAGTAGTAGTAGTAGTAGTAGTAGTAGTAGTAGTATTAAAAAGAGGACTAAAGCGTTGTTAGTTGTTGAACTGGTTTGAAGGTAGGTAACAGGGGACTTTGTTTAATTTTTGTACTCATCTGGTTGACACATGTCAGCAAGGAATAAAAGAGCAATTTTAGAACAACTGATAAGTGTCACAGTTTCGAGACACAAGTTCACGATTTCCTATCGTGTACGTTTACGAGTATGAGGGCGGATGTTACTTCCTGACTGCTCACATGATGGAAGGGCTCAGGTTGTCAGAAGGAGCATCGGCCTCGTGACTTCTGAAGGAACTCGGCTTTCAACATGAGACATCATAACTATTCTAAATGAAGACCTTCGAACTCCCAGAGCAGAGAATAAGTGGTTTGAATAATTTTTGCTTGTTAGAGATCTTGAATGACATGGCTGAAAACCGTTTGCAGCGCCGCAGCTGCATTCATTCTTCGTATTCTCTCAAATCCTAACCTTAGGAGTTCCTCATCACCTCCAGCTTTTTCTTTTTAAGTCTATTTCACTAGTTTCTACTTCTTGAATAATATCTTCTAATCCTAATCCCTTCGATTACTGCTAATACTTCTATTACCTCTTCTACTATGGGATTTGAATTGACAATTGACTCTCTGTGTTAATGAGTGGTATGGCAACTTGAACCGATATACGTATGTACATACGAAGTTCTATGCTGTAACTGAGTTTGTGTGTTTCCTACAGATCACTTTCGATTAGACAATATCAAACCGAAGTAAGGACAAAATCGAATCACTTATACTAGCGGGCGAATTTCGCCTTGATCGACTGAATTCTATCATCACTAAAGATTAGAAAGATATGATGGCGGTTACTTTTCGATCACCCATAAATGTAAAACTTGGAATGATAATGTTGGGGAGGTTAGATCCCCAGAACTCACTTGATAAAGGCCCTAATTTTAGATTTTATGTTTTCGTGCATGGGCTGATCCTTTGACTGTGAGATTACATCACCCACTCGGAAAATCCTTGACTGTTGTTATTGGTTGATGCATTTATTATTTTAGTAAGCTATTTTTGTAGCTCTGTCAAGGGCATTTCTATTGATGTATAAATAAACTCGATTTGTGTGTGCTTGTCAACATCATATTTTCTGAGTGCTTGTAGAATACACTTTCTATGCCATATATCAAAACTTCTTCCACTACTTAGTGGGGCGTTGAGACACTCGGATTAGAGTAGCCTATCGTGTCATTGGATCATTTGTCCTGGCTTTCGTTTACCGACTAAGGTGAACTCGTTATAGCATTCAAGCATATCGGTTGACGAGAATAACAGACTATTTATGATATAATATGAATTTTTTGATAAATATACCTGAAAATTATTCCAGAAGTAATGATTAATTTAGTAGTATTCGTGAGATTACATCTTTTCATGAAAATCGAAACTAATTGTATCGCTGGAAATTTGATTCATTATACGGCTGTTATTTCGAGGAACTGGCATAATCAAGGAATTCAAGATCGCTCTGAACAATAAGTTCTAGGCCTTTCGTGATCAATGAAGAGCAAATCACCAAGGAGTAGCATTTTCAAACAGCTCTACTGTATGAAACGGAAACTTGGAGAACTACGAAAGTCATCATCCATAACATACAGGTGATTATAATCTGTTGTCAATGCAAAAAACCGCTGATCCGTTGGCTAGACACCATGAGCAACAACCTACTATGGAAGAGAACAAATGAGCTTCTTCCTAGATGAAGAAGAAATTAGGAGAAAGCTCTGAAACTAGGTAGGACAAGTTGCGGAAATCACCAAACTACGTCACAATACAAGCCTTAACCTGACATTTGTATACAGGAATTTCACTAGTAAGTTGATAGATGGGCACTACTTCTAGTCAGTGTACGTTTTGTGTTATTAGTAACTGTCCGATTCCAGTGAGAACTCTATCAGATCAAGAATAATGTAGTTCTCACTTGAATAAAATACTTCAGGGATTTTTCCAGAAAAACCAACGTAACTATAAATAACCAATGTGTAGTGCCTTCACATAAATTTGAGTTCGCACATGTTTAATTTGGTTAAGCCATCTGTATAACAACAACTTATATGTACCATTGGCTTTTACTATTGTCTGATTTGTGTGAGCTGTTACGACTAAACATTGCTTACCGCATACGTGAATATTCCTTCATCCTACTCGCTTTAATGTTAACCTCTTAAATATTTCGATGACTCAGTCATTTTCCTATATATATACATATATCCGTTCATTCGCCAATTCACTCATTCGCTAGCATGCTTACCTTTCTCTCCGTGTACCTGTGATCTGCTGGTCTATTTGTAATGTGCCAAATAAACGTATTCAACACTTCGTATTCGAACTTCTGATTTATAAACCATGACACTGAACGGTTGTCTGGACAAGCAGCACGTCATGAAACTAGTAAGAGACACTGGCCACCATAAATGTACTCAACAGTTGGCCAACTTACTTTATCACTCTTTCGAAGGTAAAGTAAAAGACATGAGACAAGTTGCATGCACTATGTATAGAAAATCATGTTTATATAGAGAGAGTTTCTGAATACTATTGAACACACATAAAAATAAGTAGTTAGTTAATTAAAAAACTCGCCTCATTAAAGTTTGCCTAATTAGACGAATTAAAACAAATTAAACTGAACATTGAACAATTCCAATTCAAATTCATACATTCACACACACACTATACATTGTCAATTTTAATCATCATTAATAAGATCACATAAACAATAAAATGTGTGTGAGAATAAAGTGTTAACCTTTTTTCGGACAAATAAAAAGCACTGTCCACATTGTTTTGCCAGCCATTTTTTTAATCAATCAATCAATCAATCAATCAGTCAGTAAGTCAGTGCGGATTGTTTGTGTTTAAGTGATTTGATTTTTCCATTTCCCGGATTTCACACATCCTGATGACATCATTGTCAATATAAGCACAATAGTTATGATGACCGATGCAACAGTTGCACAAAAATATGACCAATCACTGTCAATCATTGCTGTATACAATAAAACACCGATCAATATTGCCAATGTACTCAATATCAATAACAAGAAGCGTAACACTGTATAAGCAGGTTTTGTTGAGAATTTCGCTGAACAAAATGCAATCATATCTAAGAGAATAATGATTAGGATACAAAAACTGCCAAATATCAATAATCCACCAACTGATGAGATAATCACTTTTCTATCATGATCATTAGTTTTTTGACATGATCCAAATAGATTGCCACATAGCCAAAAATCGGTACTCACTGCTGCAATACATAAACCCAAGGTGAGGATAAGTAGAATGAAACATAGTACGTAGTGTCCAGTGACCATGTTAAAGAATATTTAACTTGACTGTAAAATGTGTATAGAATATAATTCCACTGTAGAATTGTCGATTGTTACTAACAAATAAAATAGTCAACAGTAATGAGCGTGAGTTTTATTAGTTTTCAGTTTTATAAGCCTACTAAATTGAATGATGAATCAAATTGATTGATTTTTTTGTACCACCTACACAACGATTACTGACAATCACGAATAACAAACACTACTACTACTACTACATGAGATGAGATGAGATGAGATGGTGAAAAAAAATTTTTTCACTTTTCAAATGACATTGATACACACAATATTGATGATAAAATGACATACTACTACTACTACTATTATCACTACTACTAATTATAACTATAGTAGCAAATTGAATTGATTGACTCACGACGACTGTCTAGTGATTTCTTTGCGTTTTTTTTTCATTGGAAAACATGAATCGAAAATTCCATTGCTATTTTGTGTTCAATTATTATTCAATTATTCCATTTTTATACATTAAAACAATTTACTCCTTTATAATCGAAAAAATGATTTGATTTTAGTGATTATTAATAGCAGTAGTAGTAGTAGTAGTGTGGTGCGAGCTACTTATAAGTAGTATATGACGCGCGACTGAAAACGTAATGTCTAGTAGCAGAAGATGGGGGAAGATCAAGAGAAAGGAAGAGTGGGGGGAACACAATGGAATTTGTATGAAATGCATGAATAAGTGAAATGTCAGACAATGGATTGATGTTTTGTAAATTAACGATTTATGATATGGTTTTCCTATTTTACTGAGTAACTGTAATTTTCGTTAAATACAATTCGGTAGTAGTAGTAGTAGTAGTATTGATAAAGTTGAAAAGTTATTTAAGGAAAGTGTAAGGAAATGTATTTTATAGGATTGAGTAATAAACGATTCAACCGTAGATGATACATCAACACAGAATGCACCAGCTAAGTCACACAAGATGGAGAAGTTTTTAGAAGTGATGCACACTTTTACACACGTGGTTCAGCACCAACGATCTGATGGAAAGCAGTAGCAGTATTTCTATAATGGAAGCAAAGCTGAAACTCAAAACAACTGTTAACATGAACACCGAAGTCACAATTTTCAATACAAATGTCAAGAAAGTTCTACTGTATGGAGCAGAAAGTTGGAGAATTACAAAATCCATCGTCCATAAGATACAGGTGTTTATTAACAGTTGTCTGTGCAGCATACCGTGGATCTGTTGGCCAAACATTAGAGATCAGTAACAATGTGCTGTGTGGAAAGACAAAGCAGCTCCCTACAGCTGAGAAAAAAGTTAGGTCAAGTCATCCAACTGTGTCATAAGACAAGCCCACACTTGGAATCTTCAAGATCAAAGGAGAAGACGAAGACCAATGTACACATTACGCTGAGAATTGGAGGCAGACATGAAAAGAATGAACAGAAATTGGATAAGACCAGAAAGGAGAGCACAATATAGCGCAGTTTGGAGAATGCTGATCGGTCACCGACGCTTCATTAGTAATAACAGGCGCACCAATCAGGATTACAAAATAAATCATATTGTGGTGGTCACTACTCAAAACATTATTTCTAAGTAGTATAGAGTGTTGCACAGAAGTTATTCCCAAAGTGAAGAGTATTGGATTGCTATGCATAGCGCCACCAAAGTGTTGTGAATACTAGAGCATATGTGAATGACGACGGTCAATCTTTAATTGGAAGTCTGAGTATAAGGTGTGTTGATTATGTTAATCAAAACCCCCCTGGTCTTGACATGTTTGTTCATCACAATAGTAAAAGAAATCTAATGTCAGATGAGCAGGAATAATATAGTTCCTACTAAGCGTTTTTTGGCAAGTTTAGTTTTTTAAGGCCTGCGATTGCTGATCCTATGCCCAACTATTCTCCTTTATACTGGCTTGGGACTAATAAGTAACCTTAGAACAGATCCAAACGCATTTTAAATAACACGGTTATCAGAATAAATCATGAGAAATTTTGTCTGCCTAAATGAGTTAACAAAAAGAGAAAAGGTTGTTTAAAAAGAGAAGTATCAATAAGCAAATCAAGAATGGAATATAACAACGATAAAAATAGGAAGGAATTTTTGGACAAATATAATGAGTGCTACTTACAAGTTGGCATTTAAGTAGTATGCAGTAGATTATTTTAGTACTCTATTTTATGGTTCTCACCAAGGACGTTGCTATCATTGTATAAATAAGCTTGAGTTGTGTGCTTGTGGACCTTGAACTTTCTGGTTGCCTGTAGAATACATTCTCTCTACGTCTTATCAAGACTTCTCCTTCTGTTAAGTGGGGCCGTGGGAGCTCGGATTAGAATAGCCAATCGTGTGGCTGGATCATTGATTTCGCCCCGTTTACCGAATAAGGTGAACTCGCAATGGTGCAAGTATATCCGTTGGCGAGGATATGATACATTACACACGGATTCCTAGTAAATGGTTTTAACATGGATAACACAATCGTAGGTTATGGTAAACATCGAAATTGTACATATATCGACGTTTAGTTTTCTAAAGTTGATCCTAATGACTTTACTTATGTAGAATGGTTAAAACCTTAAAGCTTAAGTAGATTATTCAGCACCTGAAAGAAATTTAAGAACTTTTCATTTATTTCAATGTAGTGTGTAGTATTTATCATGCAAGTAAAGGTAATGTAGTGCGAGCTACTTATAAGTAGTATATGACGTGAGTGTCAACGTAATGTCTGGCAGCAGAAGATGGGGGGAAGATCAAGAAAGGAAGAGTTAGAAGAAAACAATGGAATTTGTATGAAACGCATGAATAGTGACAATGGATTGATGTTTTGCAACAGGAACAGTCCAGTTCCATAGGATGAACTGATGTTTTGCAAATGAACGATTTACGATATGGTTTTCCAATTTTACTGAGTAACTCTGTAATTTGCGGTAAATACAATTCGGTTGGCCCCACCTGTGTTCTCGTTCAGTACAGTAATACCCTCAACTGATTTCACGATTCATTTACTCAACCCTTAACCAGCGCACAAGTTCATGAATGCCGACGGATAAAGCACTCTAAGTACTTTATTTTATGATGAATTTACTTACTGCTTCCTCAAGTGAACTTGTAATTTCTTAAATGACCAATTTGAAAGTTTACTATAAACAATTTCTGTTATGATTAAACTTTGTTTTTGAACTAGTTAATTCAGTTTGAGATGCAAATTAATATCATTAGCCTTGGGATATAACTATATAGCTTAATAGTGACCTCATGAGCCTATAGTAAACAAATGAGTTTGATTGATTTTGTTAGGATATTCATCCAATATCCTAAGAGAATTATTGGTCAATTCCTATTGGCTAACTCCTACTAGTTAATTTTATGGTCGTCCTAGATATGAATGCCACGTGCTCCGATGTTGTTTCCCATTGGTCGTCCCAATTATCAATGTCACTTCAAATCTTGTCTCCTATTGGTCGTCTTAACTGTCAATGTCACAGATTCTATGCAGTTTCCTTTCGACCTAACTGTAATAAATACTTATTATCTGTAATGTTTTATGACGCGGACCCGGACCCGGTCCCGGATCCCTAGTCCGGGATCCTGATTATCTTCTGAACTCGGACCTTGTACTTTCTGAATGCTTGTAGAATACACGTCCTACTTCATATCAGGTCTTCTTCTTTCACTCAATGAGGGTTGGGACACTCAGATTAGAGTAGCATCTCCTGTCACCGGATCCTCGATCTTCGTTCTCGTTTTCTAACAAAGGTAAGCTCGTAATAATTCAAGCATATCAAAATCCCATGCTTACGTACATGCGTAACACATTTTTGATTGAAATTATGAATTGATCATTGTCAGACCATCATTAGAAGCCTGGAAGCACTGAAAGACAGTTGTTTTGTCTTAGTATGGAACTCATCAGCAGTGTGCATCCACTACCCTGAAAGCAGGAATCGAACCGAGGAGCTTTGGTGCCGCGCACGAATGTTTACTCGCTATACCACAGAGCTGGCATCCAACCTCAATCAATCCAAATTAATGCATAACCTCACCGATTATCTTCAATAGGTGACTACCGCATACCCGACAGGGTTGAATTTCACTGGTCACAGCTCATGAAACTAGTCATTCTCAGATGCGCACTGTCGCTGATGAGTCCCATACTAGCATTAAATGGCTACCTTTCAATGCTTCCAGGTTTCTAACAGTAGTCTGACAATGATCGATCCATAGTTATTTTAACCTTAAAATCATTCTGTTATTAAATTTTGTTCAATCATTTTCTCACAATAACATTCATAGTAATAGTAATAATAATAATAATAATAATTTGTTATAATTTAATAGTGCACTCTCTCCTCATATGACAAAAATGTTTCAATTAGAGTTATGGAGATTAGTGTTTTTTCACACGTTTGAAATTATCGATCAATCATTATTAGACCAACATTAGAAACCTAGAATGTAGGCCTTATTGATGACTGCGTTCCATTGATAACGCTACAGTGTGGTCTCTATTCGAAGTGCCTTGACATCGTCTGTACTAACTCTTTGAAGATGGAGTCATTTGACACGTTAGTTGGGACTTGTCAAGAAGGTTTGCATACAGGCTTCAAAGGGATTAAGATTACTTAAAGGGATACTTCCATAGTTCATCTATTTTTATAGTCTGAGATGCTGTTAGTCAATGCGCTATTTGTTAAGCTCGTCAATTGATATGCTTTAAACTATTACGAGTTCACCTTATTTGGTAAATGAGAGCTAAGACAAATGATCCATTGACACGATAGGCTACACTAAACCGAGCGTCCCAAGCCTCCACTAACGGTATCAGAAAGTCTTTATATAGCGTGGAAAGTGTATTCTACAAGCACCCAGAAAATGTGAGGTCTCGTACAGATGAAGAAGAGGAGCATAAAACTTTACAGACAATGCATATTAATACAGTTAGGTCGACCGTGATAAGAACCATTAGGAAACAACATTTTAAAGTATGTAGCTTGACGGTTTAGG